CGCAGGAGCCACTCCCGAAAATGCCCCGCCGCAGCCTGCACGCTGCGGCCATCCTCCTGCTCGTGGTCTTAAAGGAACAGCCTTCCAGCCCAGCCCCACTCAGCGGTAAAGTTTCTGCCTCTTTCCTAACAGTCCGGGAGCACTCCGTCTCACCTGGACGGAAGGATTTCCTGCGGGGCTCTTTAATGATAAAGTCAAGTCATTTGGGAGGAAGCAGGGAAGGATATGCATAGTATCAAATTGCACATTTTTGGAGGGGATGCTGCATTTTCCTTTGGAATGCATGATCTGCTGTGGTTGGGGGAAAGGCATTGTCCTCACAGGAAAATATGTTTGCGAGTTCTCTGAGCACCTGCAGTTCTGAAGGGGTTGCTGGGGAACTTGCTCACTGGGGTAGGGGACCCAGGATTTAAAATATTAATATTGTGCTCCAATCCACGTGCGGACAGTAAAGTGACTGGGGCATCCTGGGCAGTGTCACTACCGGGCAGGATTTGCAGTCCGCCCCAGTGGCGAACCCTCTGGACCGTGGGTGCTTTGCTTTGGAGAAGAGACTCTTCACCATTAAGCTTTACCTGCAAGTCCAAGGGATGATGCATCCCGTCATTAATCATTGTTTTTCTCTAGAGGAGCTCCACTATCCCAAATGTACACGTGTGTGTGTGTGCCCTCAGATGAGCAGGCACATCTTATTTCTGAGTGTAATTAGGGCCCTTAACCCCCAAGGGCTGGAGGCTGAGGGTGCGGAGGGAGGTGGCAGGAGGTGGTGAGTGGACCTGCCTGCGGACTCAGCTCTGTGCAGGGCATTGCGCTGAGCAGCCAAGGTCAGGTTAGTCAAGCCTTTGTAACAAGAGGAGGGTGCCTGCCTTGTTAACAGCTGAGTGAATGCTTTTCTGAGAGAGTGAACAGTGACTTCTGTGGAAACTTCCTGGGTATCTGGTGGTGGCTCCTGCCCTTGACAGTTTGCCTCAAGTTGTGGAGGCACTTGTGGATGCTGTAATTCCTGGTCCCAGGTTACGCTGAAATATTTATAGAAGAGCCCAAAGTGACCATAATGGCTGAAAATCTATACTCCCTGGCTGGGCAGTGGTGGTGGGAAATGGGTCCTTTTTTTCTTGGAGGTCATCCTGCCCGTGGGGCAGGGCAGGGGAAAGCGGGGAGCTGGGCTGTCAGCAGCTCTGGTATTACTCTGAATTCAATTCCAATCCACTGGCTGGCATGACCTGCTTGATATTATCTCCTTCAAGGAGAAATAGAAAGTAGGTGGGAGAAAGGAGTAACACAGAAGGGGAAATTAATTTTAAAAACAGCAAACTCTGGCATGTGTTCCCCTCTAGAGAAAGCTGTGCCGAGACCTGAAGTTTCACTAGAAACCTCCCTTTTAGTTCCAAGCTGCTCTAAGACAGGAAAGAGAAACAGCTACTCTTCGGCTCTGTTTTCTGAGAGCCTGTTGCTCCCCTTACCACTCTGGGGACAGCTCTTTCTCCGGGCTCGACCTTTCCCTGCCCCGTTTCCCTCCCCATCCTCCCCTGACCTCCTTGCCCTTTTCCCTCCCTCCCTTTCTCGCCTTTGCCCCCTCTCCCCTCCCCGCTCTCCAAGTTAGGGTAGGGGGAAGCTTGCAGTAAAAACTCCACTTTCACCCCACACTGAGTGGCCCTCCTGCTTACCCCTAGATTCTAAGAACAGTTTTATTGTGTTATTCCTCATGGGATTCTTGGCTTTTTAACTGCCTTGGGGACAAAGTCAAAGCAAAAATCACTGAGGTGTAGAGTATCAGTATTAACTCCAGGCTGGGGTTGGAGGGGGATTAAGCTGGGTAATGGTCTGCCCTCTGCCTGGGGCATTTACGTTTCCAGCAGCTGGCGCTGGTGAATGTCTGAAAAACACTGGGGGCGTGGAGGGAGGGAGCAAGGTAAGGTGAAGTCAGGTGTCTTCCAGAGAAAACCTTGGATTCCTCAGTTGCTATGGGGGAACGTTTCAATGAATTCTGCCAAGCCTGCTCTGTCTAAATCTGTGGTCGAAAGCTGGGCATTCTCATTCTCAAGAACTCAGGGAAGCTTCTAGCACCTTGGACAGGAAGCAGGCAGGGCCCTGAACCTGTGGCTTGGATTTTGTAAATATCACCTCCTGAGTGAGCACCCAGGGCTGTCCCCCTGCCCGATACACACTGGGCGGCAGGTTCCAACAGGTACCCCTCCCGTCCACCCCAGTCTTTGATCTTCTCAAGAAGGAAACAGTTCCCCTCAGGGCCTCCTCCCTCAGGAAGCCACCAAGGTGTAGCTGCCTCAGCCTTGGCTGACCTATCTCGTAGGGTCAGTTTGGTCCTGTTAAGAATCCTGCCCCTAAGGCTAAAGGCAGGGAATCAGGAGGTATCATTTCCAAATAAAGCAAGGAGACGCACACGCCTTTACAAAAGCTGCCTGAGGTCAGTTCGGAGGTGCCATGAACAAGGCTGGGGCCTGACCTCCACTGATGCACCCCCAGAATCAGACCACCCTCCCCTGCACTTTGCTTTTTAAGGTGCTTCTTTTCCCCAGCCTCCTGCCCCTGAGCCCCTCCAGACACTGCCATTTTTACCCAAAGCACCAAGTCTTGAGGACCAGTCAGGCTTGCTCGGAGAGAGGGGAGAGAGGTCGGCAAGAAAGCTTCCTCTGGATGTTGCTGCTTTTCGAGAACAAGTCTCTGGTCCTGTGTCACTACCTGAGGCCCCAGAGCCCTGGGTGTCCAGTTTACAGCCTTGGCGCACGCCCCCCCTTCCACCCTCGCCACCCCCCTCCTCCTCAGCCGGAGCTTCCCAGCATATTATCTGATGCCTCCTCTGAAGGTGAATGCTGCCATAGTAGGAGAAACCTCAGCTTAGCAAGTTTTGGGGGAGCCGAACAGCAGAAGATGCAGGTTTTTGAGGGTATAGTTTGATTTGGGGGAAAGTGTGACTAAAACTTCTGGCCAAAGCAGGCCAGAGGTAGCTGCTGTTTTTCTGGGGGACCCTAGGATCCCCAGAGCGTCCTGTGCCCCTCCAGGGGAGCAGTGAGGGTGAACTCCCATTTCTTGTAACCCTTTACGTCCCAGGCCTCCAAGGGCCCTGCCTGGCTAAATGGAAATAATATGGCTTCTCTGTCTGAAATCCATGACTGTATTTTCATAGTGAATCCTGCAAACAAAACACTGAAGGACAATGTTCAGGGAAGAGGTTTGATGTCTTCTGTATCTTAGTTCCTTTTGCTATTGTTTCAGTAAAGGGGCTAGTGTTATCTTGGGGGGGGTTGCATCCAAGTGTGGTTCACCCAGAGTTCTGAATGCCTTCATCCAATTGCTAATTCAGGAGAGGTTAATCTTGGGACACTTAACTCCTGTGGGGTCCATAGCAGGTTTCAGGGGATCTGTGGACCTCCTGAAATTAACTGGACATGAACTTTTGTGTGTCTAAGCCTATGGCACTTTTATGAAGAAAAGGTCCATAACACATACCAGATACTTTGAACAGTCTGGACCCCTCCCCCTGCCCCAAAGACTGAGGAAGAGACTCAAAGATTCCTGGAGTTCATGGGAACTTAGGGGTGGGATGTCAGTAAATGCTAAACCTAAGCAAATCATGAAAGAGCAATAGAGGGGCCTGCTTTATAGCGATATGGAGACAATACCAAAATAATTAATTAAAGAGTATTCAAAGCGGGGTGCCTCTGGGAGCAAGGAAATGACCAGGGGTGTCAGGGGACTAATTTTTTTTTTTTTTAATAAAAAACCTTGTAGAACCACCTGACTCTTTAAACCATGTGCATGTGTATTTTCATAAAATTACCAATTAATATTGAGAATTAAATAATTAAAGTATTGAAGCAAAGAAATGAAACAGAACAACAAAAATATGTGATGAAATCAGTTTTACAAAAGAAAAGCAAAGTCCTCTTTTAGCCTTTAAAAACCACTATTGGCTTAAATAGGAAATGCCCAGTTGTGATAAGTGACTGGTTAAGTTTTACTATAAATCACTTCCCAACAGAGAATGGGGATGTGAGGGCCTTCCCCTTCCCACTGTCCTCTGTGGGCCAAGAATGCAGGGACATTAGAAGAAGCTAAGAAAGAGGGATTTAGGACTTGAACGGTCCCCTCATGTGATGTGTCCCCTGAGACATCCTGAGTCTCCATTCGGGGTCTCAGTCTTCTGCTGGGGGTGAGGAGGGGTGTGTCAGGCAGAGTAAAGAGAGCACAGCTCTCCCACACTTTTTTAAAAATATGTTTTGCTGTACGAATGAAGGAATTTCACGTGTCCTGGTGTGGAGTGGGAAGCAGTGGGTGACTTTTGTTGCCTTCCTGGCAGAACTTCTCTTACACATGTCTACCATCCCTGGAATTCTAACCCGGATAAGGATGGCAGCTTCCCCAAAGAAAAACTTTCCTTTTGAGATTAGTGTTCTCCCTTTTATGTACTGATGTGAACTGTTCTCCAGGCTCTGTTGTTGTTGCTTTTAAAGATCTTATTTACTTTTAGAGAGAGGGGAAGGGGGGGAGAAAGAAAGGGAGAGGAACATCAATGCATGAGAGGTTGCCTGCAACCCAGGCGTGTGTCCTGACTGGGAATCAAACTGGCGGCCTTTTGGTTCACAGGCCAGCGCTCAGTCCACCAGCCCACACCAGCCAGGGCCAGGATATGTTGTTAAGTGAGGGAAAAACAAGATGTAAAACAGTGTTTCTGACATGCCAACAATTTGTGTGGGGGAAAAAAAGTGGAGGGGCAGAATACAATTGCATAGGTGTGTGCTGCTAGACTGGGAAGGGTCTATCAGCTGATGGAACTGGTCCTCTCTATGGAAGCAGGGAGATCTGGCAGGAGAAGAGATGTTACTGTATACCCTATAGCCACTTCGGAGTTTTTGAGCCTTGGGAATTTATTAGCTATTCAGCTAGTAAAATTTGGCTTCTTATATAATAAGATAGGTGTTTTTCTCTATCTTCTTCAAGCTCAATTGTACTTACTTGCTTTGTTTTGTTCTTTGCAGGACCCAACTGGACCTATTTTGGTAAGTAGAGATTTAAATATTTTTATGAGGAGGTGGCCGTGTTTAATGGGAAAGCCAGATATCATGATCTGTGGGCATCCAGGGTGGGAAGGAGGGTTGAGGAGAGCTGTTCTGATGTTGTTAAAAGGGCACAAAGGCCTCTCTAAAGAATCACTCCATACAGGTTGCATGCTGCACTTTTTCCGAGCACATGAGACTGCTCTGTGCACTTCAACTTGGGGTCATAGTGTTAAGGATGCCTACCAAACCTCCCAGGTGAAGATGCCCAGGGTACTTCCACACTGCAAGAGCCCCGGGCAGGAGAGAGCCTTTCTCTTCCATAGGTCGTTTATCCTGCGATAAACAAAGAATAAAGGGTTCCTTTCTGAAAGGTTGGCTTAGGCCCCAGAACTTAAGCTGTCAGTATCTCACAAATCAACTCCTTCTTGCCCTGTTTGCAAGCAAGCATTAGATGAAGTGGAGACGGCCAGTCCTTAGTGAAAGAGGGATACCTAGTCTTAACTGGGGAGAGGGATATCAGTTGTGCGACGCGGTTGCCGTGGGATTGGGTCAAGAGCGACACTGGCCACTTCTGGCAGGACTGCAAGATAAGCAGCTTGAAATCAGCTTAGCTGGTGGGTTGCAGTAAGTTGGGAACTTGGTCGTCAGCCAGAGAGGAAATGGGAGGCCAAGCACCTGGACCCACCGGCAAATGCAGGAATATTAATGCAGTAGTGCCCTCGCCTTATCTGTGACTTCACTTTCTGTGGTTTCAGTAACCCACAGTTGACCACAGTCTAGAATGTAAAATGGGAAATTCCAGAAATAAAAAATTCATTGACTTTAATTGTGTGGCATTCTGAGTAGTGTGATGAAATCCCGACCCGTGCTACTCCATCCTGCCCAGGACGTGAGTCATCCCTTTGGTCCAGCACATCCACGCTGCATGCTACGCGCCTGGTCCTGGGGATGCAAGAGACCACATGCATGTAGCTTTTAATATAGTACGCTATAATTGCTCTATTTTATTATTTTTGTAGTTAGTCTCTTACTGTGCCTAATTAATAAGTTAAACTTTATCATAGGTATGTATATATAGGAAAAAGCATAGTATATACAGGGCTCAGTAGTATATGTACTAGCTTCAGGCATCTACTGGGGGCCTTGGAATGCATCCCTCACAGATAAGGGGAGGACTGATGTAATATCCTGTTAGGGACAGAGTCACAAGGGATTTGCAAGATAGCTGGTTATGGTGAGCAGGAAGATGGAGCTGGCCTCATGGGCGTACGAGGGGCTGTGACAAGCAGGGATGTTGATTGCTACCGTGGAAGCAGAATGCAGAGAAAGACCTGGCTTAGATTTGCAACAGTTAGCCTTTGGATGTTTGTTAGCCCATGACGGGTAGAAAAGTCATCAAATTAGTCAGTCAGCTACCTACATGCCAACGTCTCCTTGGCTCTAGCATTGTATGGCTCCATTATACTAACATCCTCATGCTCTTATGTGCAAAGCACTGTTGCTAAGTGGGTGGGTAGTTAGAAGGGTAGGCTGTGGTCTGTAGCTGGGAATTACTTAAGGCTCACAATTCAAAGCAGAATATAATAGGTAACAACAACAGATAATAAATAGTTCAGAGAAGGACAAGAATGCTAGGGCTACATGGTCAAGAAAGGCTTCCTGGAGGAGGGGGACTCTTACTTGGACCTTGGAGGATGGGAGGATTCAACATGACAAGGTGGAAGTGCTATTGGCCAAGATGAGGATGGCATCATGTGAGCAGAGGCAAGCAAGAACAAGGTGGTATTTGAGGGAAGTCATGTGGAGAAGAGGTTATAGGGCAGTGAGGGACTCTGAGGTCAATAAGGTAGGTTGGGTAAAACAGGGGAGGCAGGGAGGGGGAGGCCAGGCCCTTCCCACTTTGTCCCATAGATGGAGGGGTGGGGCAGGGAGTAATCTGTGTTTTAGGAGAGTAACATGGTGGTGGGGGTGGGGGCGGTGAGAGGGAAGGGTAAGCAGGAGGCAAGATACTTGGCCTTGTGAAAATCTCATTCTGTGTCTTAACATCCAGTTTATAATAATGGTGGTAAGAAGAAAGGAAAGGGCAGGGCAAGGCCTCAGGGCCCCTTGGGCAGGTTCAGTGTGTGGGATGTGACCAGAGCAGTGCAGGCATGTAAAGAAGGTGGGACTCAGGCCCTGGGCCTTATTCCATGTGATCCCAAGTGAGCCATTTGAGCCCTCTGGGTCTCACTTTCTCTACCTGTAACCTAGAGAATCGGTTGTCTTGCTGAGCGTTCCTCCAACTATGGCCTCGGGTCACCTGCCTCAGAAAAACCTGGAATGCTTTCCAAATATGCAGATTTCTGGGACTTAGCCTGGACCTGGGGAAGGGAGGGACCATAAAAAGCATGTCTATTTCTTCATGCACTTTTCACGTGATTCTTACACATACTCTGTAAGAGAACCATTGATCAGATGGTTCCCAAGACCTTTTTATCCTGAGTCAGGGATGGCTTGTCCCACCTCTTTTGCTGGCCTCCCAGGTGTAGAGGAAACACACCTTGAATCTCTCCAGGGCAGGAAGCCCTGCCTCTATGTGATAGCCCCTCACCCCACCCAGGGCAGAATGAGATCGTTGCAGAGAGCAGAGAGTCAGGAAAGTGTGGGAGGAAAATCTTAACTGCCCCTTAGTTGTGACATGGTGTCCCCCCAAGGAGGGCTTCACTGTCCAGCCCTATTGACTAGTTCAGAAGCATCTCTTCCTGGCCACTAGCTCTAAACACACTATATTACAAGTCCGCCAGCCCTTAGTCCCTCTGCCCCCCACAACTCGAGCAGCTCTTTGCTGAGGAAGCAGAGGGCAGAGTCTAATGATGTACGCCAAACGTGGGTGGGGGGCGAGTGCAAAGGCAAATCTGACTTTTCATTAGTCAAATGGGCACATGTGATATGGAATTAGCCCACAGCGGGGGCCAGCGAAGGAAGACAGATAGAGGACAGCTGAGGAGGCAAACAGGTCCTGGCTGGCAGCTGGCACCTGAGCTCAGGGTCACACAGGTAGACAGAAGACCTGGCATAGGTGCTGAGGAAAAACTGTTTCCAAGCAGTAAGAGCTACACTGAATGGGGCAAGTTCAACCAACTGCCACGTGGTTTTCCCAGGGTGCAGACCTCAGCTACTTTGCACATAGACGCTGCTGAATCATCCTAATCCAGTGACCTCCTACCGCCTGGAACACATGGCAGGAGTTCTAGAAGCACATGGAAAAAGAACTCTGCCCCCATCCCCCTCTACACTGAGTCACCAGGCTGACCTGTGACCTCTCTCTCACATGCCTGTCCTGGAGACAGGAGGACCATCTGACAGCCAAGATGGGGCCAGCTGGCCCTGCGCGCTCCTCCTGTGTGGCCGAAGCAGCGGCTGGCTATGTGCTGGAACTCAGCAATTCTAAACCCAGTTAGAACTCAGTCCCAAATCAATCCTGCTGAGCCCCGGCAGCTTCACCAACTCTGAACCGAAGGGCAGCTGCGAGTCAGGTTGTCCTGTGAGCTGAGGATGACCTCCTGCTGGCTGAAGCGAGTCTCTGCTGTTAGGTGTCAGGGGAGCGGGAGCCTCCCGGGGCTGGAGATGATGGGAACGAGGCACGAGGAGAGGTGCTGGTTGTGTTCAGTGCGTGAAAACTCATCATGCTGTTCACTTAGGATCAGGCACTTTTCTGTATGTATATTATAGTCCATAAAAGAGTTAAAAAATTCCAGCTGGCTGGGAGAGTCATCCTTACCCTGATAGTATATTTTTAGCCCTCCCCCAAGAAAAACAAAACAAAAAAAATTCATCATTGTGTTCAGAACAAAAGAGCAACCAAAAAGAATGGCTCTGTTGGAACGAACAACCCAAGATCACATCATGTGAGCAGAGGATGGGCATCGCGCTCCATCCTGAGGAAAACCAGACGTTGCTTTGGTGCTCCTCCCATGTTAGCTAGTTGAGAAATCGACAAATACCACTGTTTGCTAGAGATTTTGGAAAAATAAGACCCTTAAACCTCCAAAGGAAAAGGGATGAAAAGGGAACCTGGAAGCCAAGCCTGCCTCCTGGAGAGTGAGAGAGTCCCATGTTACCCCCAGTCAGGGCCCCGAGGCAGCCCCCCTGCCAACGCCCCGCCCCCCGCCCTGCCCCTCCGGTTGCAGCGAACCCTGCAGTGAGGATGGCTTGGCTGCAGCGGTGGGCAGCAGGCTGCAGCTGCTCACCGGCCCCCCGACCATCTCCCCGCAGTGGCTGGCCAGCCCCCAGCCCTGGTGGGACACCGTGTGATCCAGGAATGCCACAGCATTCCTCATGCTGCTCTCCTGTCTCCCAGACGAGACAGATTCTCCAGCTTAAAGAACTGCCTTTGGGAAACAGGAAGGGATGGATCCTCTACTGGGCAAACACTGTTTCTCTGGGCTCCTGCCTTACGCCTCCACCTACCTTCTGTCCTGAATCTGCTGGAATATTAAATTGCTATGAGTGACCTTTCCCTGGGACCCAAGACAGCCTTCCAAGCTCTTCCCAAGCTCTGAGAACCAGATGTGGAACATATGGAAGGAGGCCAGGAGGAAAACCCTTTCCTTTCTCTCCTTTAGTAGCGATAAAGGCAGTATGTGACCTCACACAACTGCAGTATGAAAAGCAGACCTTACGGCAGAGCTAAAGGGAGGACTCGAAACAGCAGTAAGGGAGCATGTGCAATTAAAAGGCTGACTGAATGAAGGAGAGCGTCTGTTTTTCCCCAGAGGTAGAAAGGTTCAGCCAACTGAAGCACCCCAGAGACTTCTCTCCCAGTCTAGCTGCCCTCCGAAGAGCGAATGAGGAGAGGCATGCGATGCTGTTAGGAGGGGGAGCAAGAAAGTCCAGAACATGTCTTCCCCTTGAGGCTGGCAATCCAACTAATTTCCATTTATTAACTCCGAGCTAAAGTTTCAGTTACTTTTCATTGAAGTTGTGACATCCTGCAGGTGATTCCATGTGGTAATGATTTA